ACTCTTAAGCCTTCTATTTTAATTTATTTGCTTGTTCAAGCCGCAATCGGAAGAGAAAAATTGTCATCTTCTTCCAGAGAACTGTGCGTCAAATAATATAGGCAAATTCAAAATCAGCGCTTGAAGTTCTATTGATACTCCTTACTCTGAAGGGCTTACACTTATATGTGTTCCTTGAAAGATTCCCTGAAATATTGGGATTTTGATCCTATACGTACATGTGACTTTTCTTCTTTACCACTATTCTAATTATTTTCTTTGCCTCTATTGGTTATCGTCACTTTCGAGTTTTTTCAAAAAAAAATTTAAAAGCAGCCTTTAACATATACACGTGTAATGATTGCGAAACTTACCCATAGGAATGATATCGCTATAATATGTTGCAATGCAATGTAATGGCCACTGCACCAGATAGAGTGCGTAAGAAATATCTCCCAAAAATACAGCTACTCGATTTGTAAGGAAGATGAAGGACTGAACACAAAGGTTGCAGTGACAGTATGCGAAATGACAAACAAAAGCAAACAAGGCTAAGCTAAAAGATGACTGAGAAACCTCTTCTTTTTGTCCTGCATATAGAAGCAGCGCCACAGCGGCTGTGATGTAGACCCTAAGATCAAAGGTCGGGAATCTGAACCACATCACTGGGATGAGCAAGGGAAGCAGGAAAATAGGGTGACGTAAGAATGAGCGAGCGTAATCAGGCCAGCTAACATCTAAATCCAAATGATGATTCCGGTGGAACTGAACGTGATTTATCGCGCACATGGTGCAATCGCACGCCAAACATCAACTCCAAAGAAAGCAGATTTCTGTTTGCTGAAAAGTTGCACAATGGGCGTGCACATGTGCTTCGTCTCTAAACAGAGGCGGCTCTTCTTCGTAATCTTTTTATTTGCTTGGCGTGTGATCGCCCTCTATGCGCCACAAACATCTCACTTACTTCCACTTTGCTCTGCTCGCATCTTCTCTCCATTGTTGAGTACGCCAAATTTCTCGTGTTTGCCACCGTACTGCTTGCCTAACAGGTTCTCTTCCTCTAGATCTGGTTCAACACATTGCTCCTTAGGATTATTTATTAGTTGTGACATTTGATAAGGAATATCCGTTCAAAATCGAAATTATTACTTCAAATTTTTTTTAGTAATGGGCAAGTGATTTTCCGCTTAGAATTCCTTAACAAAGTACCACCAGAATATCCCAATTTTAATAGAACCTAAGATTATATTGCGGTTTTGCTTCATTCCCAAATTCTCTTTTTTTTTTGCGAGATGTTGGGTAGAGTATGGTAATACTAATGAAATAGTTTTCAATTACAGTAATCCGTG